ATGGAGGAGGCCCCTGGGGCTTAAAGAGGAAAGATAAATAGCAAGACCAGGATTTGCACCGGGTTTTCTAACGCTAAATCCAGTGCTTGTTCAGCAAATCACGGCTATTTGTATTCGATGCAGTACTGTTTCATATGTTCTGGTCTCAGCTCCTCCAGAACTGGGCCTGCCTCATTTGTCTCTGGGTCCCCAGGGCCTCCCTCAGGGCCAAGCTCCTGGTATGCGGTCAGGGACTGTGTGATGAATGGGTGCGTGAATGACTGAATGAGAAGACAAGTACTACCTTTTATACTTTTTTAAAAAAGCTGCTTTTACCCAGCTGAGAGGTTTTTCTCCACGGAAGGTATATTTTCCCCAAAATAAACCTGAAGTGGATCAAAAGGCCTCTTTTTTTTGATTCCTACTCTTCTCACAAAGTGAAAAAAGTTCCTTTGTTACTTAAAATATCTGCGCCAGATCGTACAATGCTGTCTCTTAGCGCAAGTGCTTATTATTGTGGCTAATTTGGTCACATGTGTTTGAAAGAGAACAATGCCTCAGAAATTTTTAAAAGCAAAACAGCAATCTGAAGCGTTTGTTGTAATGAGATGTAAATTGCCAACATCGGGAGTGGAGCCGACAAAAATTTGCAATGAAGTGGTTTTTTTCCCCCCTCTTAAATTAAAAGCACTAGAGCCCTCCCTCCTCTCCCCAAAGAAACCACACGTTTTTGTTCCTTTTCTTTCTGATTTTGTTATACTAAACACCCCGCTTTACTGATTGATTTACTCCTTCGCATCGGCCATTTTCGGAGCCTCTGCCGAGCCGCTGTTCTGTGCCTGCCCCAGTGCCAGGCTCTTCCGGGGGGGCATTGGCAGCCGGCGTGGTGGCTGTTGGTAATCCCCATTTTGCAGGTGGGAGAGCTGAGGCTCAGAGAGGTGAGGTGACTTGTGTACGGTCTCGCAGCTGGGTTCACACCCCCGTCTCCAAGATGTGCCTTTGGCTCCTCTGCCCTCCTCGCTGAGGCCGAGGCACCAGGTACCTTCTGTAGACAGTGCCGAAGGAGGCGGCTCTTGCAGAGCAGTGCTAACAGCTGGGAGCCACCACCTATTAAACCGTGCTGACCGAGAATGTCAGGAGACCGTTTTCCTTGAGGGTCAGAAGATCCCAGGACAGTAGCCTCAGTATTTGTCAAAACTCTCTCAGTGCCTGAGGAGACCAGCGTGAGCAGAGGGGGGCGTGGGGGTGCTGTGGGCTGCAAGGACCTGCTCAGTGCTGGGCCTGTGCGGGGCCTTGGGCTAAAGAAGCCCAGCAGGGCCCCTGGCTCCCAGAAGCCACGGCTGAGTAACGGACTAGCTTGAGCACCCAAGCATGACGCCGATGGGCGGAGGAGTGAGGTGAGCCGCGATCTCCTGAGCTGCCACTCCATGCCAGACTCAGGGTAATCATTTCACCAACATGGGGAACTCACTGACTCGTCAGTCTTGCCAGGTTGCTGTTGTCATTCCTCCTTTCAGACGAGCCAGCAGGGTCAGGGAGGTTAGGCGGTTATTGATGTATAAATTGTCTGTTGAGGATGGAAGCTGAACCAGGCACTGTGCTGAGCCCTGGTCTCTGACATAAAAAGACGCAGTCCCTGCCTGCCCTCAGGCCTCACAGGCCAGCAGGGAGACAGGCATGGAAGCAAAGAGTGCATCTGATTATTTTGGGGTAGAGGCCCAAGGGACGACGGAGCTCAGCTTCCTGAGGAGGCTCACAGCTCAGCTCAGCAGCAGGCGGCAGCCCCCGAGTTTAAACCGCAGTCTTTCTGACTCCACGTTCTAAGGAAGGAGTGGAGAGAACGACTTACCTCCCTTGGGAGGGACGGGACAGCCTCGTGGAGGAGACAGCCTTTGAGTCAGGCTTTGAATCCCTCGTGGAGTTGGGATAGGTGCACATCTGTAGGGGGTAGAATGTTCTGGACAGAGGGGATGGCACAAGCAAAGACTAGGAGGCAGGAATGGTCTATGTGTGGAGAAGGGTAGGCAGGCCACTTTGGAATGTAGTCTGACTGTGGGGAGGGGCCTAGGGGAGTGGAGCCAGAGAGGTGACTCTCCCTCTGGTGTCCCTTTGATGTCCCTCTGTAGCCATCTGAATAGTCATTCTGGGTACATGTTTTCAATTTCTGCTTAACAGCCCTAATTTCTACTTCACGGGCTACAAAAAAGGTTACAGATATCTGAAAACAGCCTCCCACCCACCCCTACCCCACCCCAAACACCCCAGCTCAGCAGCAGAGCTTTATTTCAGAGTCTTTGCCCCAGCCCGTTAAAGTCCCTTCCTCCCCCCCAGCCCTCTCTCCTCTCTCTCACGTCGTGAAGAATTTACTGAGCCTGCAGTGTGCCAGGCACTGGGCTAGGTGCCAGATCTCAAAGAGGGTGCAGCTTTGCCCTTGAAGAGCTTCACAGTCTAACATGAGCAACAGACTGCCAGGCCGATGAGTCAAGTATAGTTTGCTGGAAGTATTTGCAGTCCACTACCTAGTAGTGATCAGGGCAAGGCCTCACAAAGGAGACCCCTAAGCTCCGTTCTGAAGTCTGACCAGGGGCTCGGCCGGCAGATGAGGTGGTGTTCAAGGCCAAGACAGTAGTACATCCAAAGGAGCTACAGCCTGGGACAGTACAGCATGTGGGGGCCCTGAGCACAGGTGAGTATCAGGGGACAGCAAGAAATGAGAGCCAGAGGGAGAGAGGACGCTGGTTGTTCTGGGCCTTCAGGAGGCTATGGTGTGTGACTTAATTTTGAGAGTAGCGGGGAGCCTAAGCAAGGAAGGACACAGTCATGTCCTTTGGCAGCCACTGTGAAGACGGAAGGAGAGAAGCAGACTGACATCCGAGTTGAGCTGGATTCATTCCCGTGTCCAGCATCTTCCTCTCATAGAAGGAAAAGGAGGCTTTAGAGGAGGGACACGATCTTGCCAAAGGTGACCTGTGAGCCTCTAGCTGCATGGACCTCCTCCTCTCAGCCCATTCCTGTCTCTTGTCACTGAACATCAGAGCAGGAAGGCACCTCAGATGCCAACTCAGCCATGCCCTGTAGGGAAACCAAAGTAATTACTTAGTCCCCATCTAAGAAAAGATCAAATGCTTCACTTAAGTTTGTTTGTATCTCAGAAATTCAACCTGATACCTCACACAGAGAGCTGAGAAACTTTGGCTTCTGCTTCTGAAACTTTAGAATTGTTCATTCACTGTTGTTGTTCTTTTATTCATTTAGCAAACATTCAGAGAGCACCTACTCAGTGCCAAGTGCTGGGGACAAAGAAAAGAATAAGACCTAGGCCCAGCCCTTGAGTAGGTCAGGCACTGTTGGGAGATGCTGTGAGAAGGATGATGATGCTGTCAGTCCTTCACTCTGCCAGCTCCTGCATCTACAGTTCACTCACCTGTGGTCACACAATTAAAACACAGCAGAGCCAGGAATGGGATCTAAACTCACTATGCCAAGATGAACTGTGCTTTTTCTTTTTTTCTTTTGGTGAGGAAGCTTGGCCCTAAGCTAACTTCTGTTGCCAATCTTCCTCTCCCCCCCCCCCCCAAAACCCCAGTACATAGTTGTATATCATAGTTGTAAGTCCTAGTTCTTCTATGTGGGATGCCACGACAACATGCCTTGATGACCGGTGCATAGGTCTGCACCCAGGATCCAAACTGGTGAACCCCAGGCTGCTGAAGCGGAGGGCGCTAACTTAACCACTATGCCAGTGGGCCTGCCCTGAGCCGTGCTTTTTCATCTGCACTGTTCTGCTTCCCAGTCATCTTGCCTTCAGCTTTGTGCAAGGCTCATGCTTAAATCATTGGAGACTACAGAGAGTCTGTCTTGCAGATGGCAGATGCCAGCAACTCAGGAATGATATTCTTGTTCTGCGCAGCCCTGTCATGAGGAATTTTAGTAACAAAATCCTTAATACCTTCCCTCCCACTAGCCAAAGTCTAGGATGCGGCAGTTGAACATAGTGTTACAACCAGATTGTTGGTCAGGACTTTAGTAAGTGTATAAAGAGTTGTGGACCAAGTTGTCCACGTGGTTGGGGTAAGAGAAGGTTGGACCATGAAATTCATTGGGTGCTCACGTTATATGCACAGCATTGGGGACGTTCTATGACAGTAGCTAAATCTCTGATCCCAGTCGACTCCTGCAGTGTCTGCAGAGGAAGAACTTCCAGGATGCTGAACTCTCCGTTGGCCTTAGAGTTGCCCTCCTGCAAAAGTTAATCAAGTCATTTGCCTTATTTACTCATTTTCATCCTGTTTCTCTGCCCTTTGGTAATCAAGACATAATAGGTGATTTAAAAAATAGCCCATAATCTTTAAAAGCTAATGGAGAAAAAAAATCCCTCTTAGAAACCACCACCATTTATCTAGCTTTCTTTCACTGTTTAAACTGCACGTAATTTGTGTTGATTGCATTAAAATAAAAATCAGGGTAGCTGCTGGATCAGGCAATCAGGGTCCTAATCTGTTTTGTATTTTAATTTCTTGGTTGAAACGCTCCTGTCCAGATACTAGGGCTTGAGGAGGGGAGGCCTTCACGTTTCTCCCCGCTGCTTTCCTGACCTCTGATCTTCCGCTGTGGCCTGCTGCACTGGAGGCTGCAGAGCTGGGGTTTTTGGCAAATACATGATTTGCATATTGCGGAAATTGCTACCCCTTCTCTACCCAGTCTTGACAGGACCTCTTTCCTGTGCCAGAAGCTGAGTCCCCTGCATTTCCATGCAGACAGGGACACTGTAGAAGACTGCATCTCACTACGACTTAGATTCTCCTCCAGGCTTGTCCCCAGTTTTCCCGCTTCCCCTCATGGCGTTCGTACCTCGTGTTATTTTCAAGCCTGTGTTTGAGTATAGTCCAATCGACGAAAATAAGCCAGCTTTTTTTTTTTTTTTTTTTGGTGCCACTGTGTGCTGATAGATGCGTAGTAAAAAATATTTGCCTTTTATTTTCCTTGGAGTTCTAGACAGATCTCTTTTCTTAACTGCCTAGGTCCCGCCATTGACTTGGAAAAAGTAAAGTCAGAGTGTCTCGAGCCCGAGCCGGAGTTGCGGAGCACTTTCAGTGAGGAAGCAAATACGTCGTCCTATTACCCTGCTCCTGCACCTGTCATGGACAAGTATATCCTAGACAATGGCAAGGTAGTGTTTCAAGCTCAATATCGCTTCCCTGCAAGTGTGTGTTAGTCAGTGTCAAGATGGCGAGTCTGGTGGGAGCTTTCCAAAGCACAGCCTGGCCGGGTGGCCTCCTGGCCCAGCCCTGAGTGACTGTTTCCAGAATTCACGTGCTGTAACTAGTGGAGCTTTACCGGGACTTTCTTTTTCTCTAACATTTTTGTTTTGTAAATATTGGGCCAAAGCAACCGTAAAACTAAACTGACATTTTAAAATAGATTATTAGTGAGAAAGATTTTTTTTAAGAAACCTGATAGTTTGATGAAACTTGTCTTACCCTCTTGTGAAACCAGTTGCATAAAATTTATCAGGGAAACTAGAAGTGAGATTTCTGATGTACAGAGAACAGCTCAGTGTGTACCCATTCACCGTTCGAAGCGTGTCTGTGTTCTAAGCCCTGTGCTAGAATGCCAGGGACGCGCAAGTGGAGGAGACCTGCTCCTTGTCCCTACACTGCTTTCAAGCTTTATATTCAGTGGTGGTTAGCCCCCAGTCCTCGGACCACACAACTCCTCAGCTTTTCTTGTAAGACCCTAGAAAAAACACCTTGAAAGAAAACAAGTGCTATTAGTCATGATATTGGTACGGGGTGAAAAGTAATGGAGTCTTAAAGTCACGTGATAGAGCAGCAGGGCAGGGAGAAAACTGTGTAACGTCTTTCTAACATCCACATGAATCCGTCTCAGAAGTACATTGAGCCCTTTGTCTGGGTGTTGGTCAAATTCGGTTTCAGTGTTACATTTCTGCCCCCATGGCATCCATTACAGACATCACCTCTCCTTCTCCCCAAAGAATCATCTGTGTCAGTCTATTTTTCTTGCCTTGTGCTTCAAAAGGTCTCTGTTTATTCAGTATTGTTCCCCAGTGGGCTGTTGAAAAAGAAAAGGTTGTTTTATTTGGGTTTGTCCAGAGGGATGCCTGCAACTGGCCAGACTGAGCCAAAGCAAATATTGTCAAGCCGAGGAAATGAGACCTGTTAGTCTTTAGGGCTCTCTTGGATCTGCGGCCATTCCCTCATGTCCCACTGAGCACTCCCTCCCCTGCAGAGCAGAACTGCTGGGCCCGGCTGTAGGCCCATGCTGCCTTACCTTACTCCAGCCAACAGGCTTTAGAAGTCAGCTTTACAGGGGACAGGTGGCATGACAGAGTGGAGGTAGGCAGCCTGCAGCCCGAGTTGTAAGCACAGCTCTATCTCTGTCCTACCTGTGTGACCTTGGGCGAGTCCTTGCCTTCTCTGGGCCTCAGGTCCCTGTCTGCATGAGGTCAGATCAGATTGATGGTCCAAGGCCTTTAACGACTGAAACTGTGTATCTGAGTTTGGTGAACCTTCCGCAATTGGAGATAGAGAAAAGAAAAGACTATTCTGTGTTTGTTGATTTCTTTTTAATCCTGATCACATTGTGGAGTGACTAGAGACTTTTTCTTGAAGTAGCTTCCAAGAGAAGTCTATTTCTGTCTTGCTTTGAAGACTGATGGACAGCTTCTGAGCATTACGGGGGCCTCATTTAATTTTTTCACGCATGAGTTGCACAACAAATCTTAAAAATACCGATTTTGTTTCTTCATTGGTTGTTGCCACTATGTTGCTATAAAACTAACCTGGCTTTTGTTTGTAACTCATTTGTAGTCAGGCAGAGAAATTTATTAAGGGAGGGGAAAGGAAGTGGACATACTGGAGAAGGATGGCAGCTTCCCAGAGCGGCATTCCCCACATCCCGGAAGGAGCCCTCGTTGTTCTTGGCTCTGCTGTCGTTCCTGCCCCTTCCTCCTCTCTGCCTGTGTGAACAAGAACCGTAATCTCTGCAAAGCCTACAGCATTGGAATGGGATCCATTTCCTAGTAGGAAACTAGTTCTGTCCTACAAAACGTATCACAAAGACATCTTTTTGATCTCATCCTACCAGATGCCATATTTTTAATAACCTCCTTTGACACATAAGGCTGGCATTTTGGTCAAATAGTAAACTGTGGTTTATGTGAATAGGGCTTGCCACAGAAGTCACTTTCTGATTTTGGTGAAGTGCATTGTTTTTCTTTGTCTAAGATGGTTTATTTCAAAAACTCATTAAATCATAAAGCTGCAAAGACCATTAAAGTTTAAATAGTCCAATTTATACATGGTATAGATGGGGAAACACATCCAGAGAAGGGACTCGTCTACAATTACGGAACAGGTTGGAGCAGGCAGGCAGGAACTGAAGCCAGATCTCCTGGTTCCCAGGCCAGTGCTTTTTCCAGTCTATTCTGCTGCATCCCTGAAATCTGGGCATTGCTCCAGGTGACCTGGAGCTTTGCTGACCCTGGGAGCCGTTGTCCCAAATGCCCCTGCATATACCCATGATTGGTCTTACCCAGGGCCATTTCTTTCTGTGCCATAAAGTTGGGCTTGTACTCAAGTACGTGTCAGAAAATGTTTTCTTCTCTGAGAAACAGCAGCTCCTCAGAACTGAAAGCCATTGCCATTAAAACATATTAAATATGGCCGTCAGTTTCTTACTGCTGTGTGTTCAGACTAGTCCTGATCACTTGGTAGGGGGCAGAAGAGGCAAAACCTCAATCCCTCCCACAGAGGTGTACCATGACGGGCTGAGTCAGGTGGTGAAGGCACTCACGAGGCTAGAAATTCAGAGGGTGTAAAACTCAGCCCTGGAGTAGGTAAAGAGTGTTTCTGGATTATGAACTGGAGCTTGAAAGATTAGGAGACTTAAGAAAACATAATCAAGGCATTCATTCCTGAATCTGGACAGGGGAAGGTGTGAGCAGAGGCATGGGTGGGGAAGAAGGAAAGGAAGTACCAGTTACTGGATATGGGCTGTCCTCCTGACGTTTTACTCATGCTACCTCATTTAGTCCCCCAGACAGCTCTAGGAGTTAGCTGGTGCTCTGCCTATTGTAGAGCTGAGAAAAGTAAGGCTCAGGCAGGTAAAGTGACTAGCCTGAGATACCAAGCTAGTAGGCAGAAGGACAGGATGCACACCCAGGGCCAGAGGCTCCTGGGCCTGACCTCTTTCTGTTACTGCACGCTGGAAGAAGAAGGAAATGGAAGTGTTTGGGAGCCTCATAGTGATGGGCGTAGTAGGGAAATAATGGTTAGTAGGTTGAATGCAAACAGGATTCTAGAGGGCCTTTAAAGCTGACTGAGGAGGTTGGATTTGATGTGACAGGAAACGGAGTCATTCAAGATTCCAGAGAGTTGACATAAAAACACAGATTTGAAAGACTGCAGAAGTCATCTAGTCAAAGAAGGAAAGCCGTGTTTTAGGGAAATTAATCTGGCAGTGTTGACAGGGTGGGGTGGAGGGGGCAGGGGCTGGAGGCTGGAAGGCCAGCCCCTGGCCTTTTTCTGTGTTTCCTGTCGGCAGTGTGAGCTGCAGCGGGTGTTGGCAGGGGAAGTGGCCAGGCAGGTACAGAGAAAAACGGACTGAATATTGCTGTGTCAGATCCGCTTTGTCTCCATCACGTTAGCACCACAGTTGGCGGCAGCAGGAAGGCCCAGAGAGCATGGGCTTCGGGGCCATACAGATTTGAGTTTGAATCTTGATTCCAAAATTTACTGAAAAGTAATTTAGTCCTTCTGAATCCGTTCATGTCTGTAAAATGGGAATAATAATTTCTACCTATTTCTATCCTAAGTCATTACGAGGATTAAATAAATTGAGGGTACAATACCTGGTTCATTATAGGTACTCAAAAACCATTAGTTGTCCCCTTTCTCTTATAGAACATTGGCTAAAATGACTGTCATCTCTCTTTGAAGAATCATAAATTATAAAGGATTATAGGAAAGCAAGGCCCAGGGTAGAAAATAGCAGAGACCTTTGAAAAACTGAAGTTGACTTCCATCTCTAAGGTTCTCTGATTCTGAATTTAATCTGACTCAAATTCCTTGTTTTTCCCCTATCTCAAGAAGCTTGCATGGGTAGCTCCAGAGCATCGTCAGGGGAGGTGCCTGGGGTCCAGCAGGGAGCAGCAGGGCACTTGTGCTCAGTGTGCCTGATTTGGTACAGACTGCCCACCTGCAGTTCAGACTGCAGAGAAAAGGCCAGACTTGACCTTGGGTGGGTGTGGCCCCAGCCAGCCCTGGGCAGCACATCTCACTCCAGGGTGCCTTATCTTCCTGAGTGAGTGAACAGATGTGCGGGACGGAAGTTTGCAGCCTGGAAAGCCAGATGGATCTGGTTATCTGATAGCATGCCTGCACAGGTCACTGAATGATCTTTTGAGCAAAAGGAAGTGAAGTCAGCTGTAGCAGGTGGATTGTTTACTTACTGACATTTGTGGGTGGGCTGTGTTGCTATTTCTTTTCTCTTTTTTTGGTTGAAAAACCTCAGCAATTGGTGAAGCAGAAGGGTTGCTGGCTGACCCATCTGCCCATCTTTCTTTCCAAGCCATCTTCAGTAGAAGGGTCTTTAATCATCTTTGGTCAATGAGTCTTGCTGGTCTGCCATCAGTGTGGGTGTGCGTGCAGTCTCTCAAACCAGGACCTCTCCGAGACCTCGCCCGACCATGCGATGTTGATGACCTGCAGGTCTTTCTGAAGACAAGGACTTTTGGCAGAGCCTTTTCATTCCCCTTAGAAAGTGTATCTCATTAGTAGCTGCCTCCCCTCCAGCCCACAGAGGCCATTTCCACCCTCCGTGGACTCAGCAGAAACAACATAAACAGCAAGGTCCAAGTCAAACCTCTGTTTTTTAATGATTAATGTTAGCAGATGGCTTTTGAGTTTTTAAAAGAGCCAGAAAAGAGGAAAACTTTAAAAGCTTGTAGTTCATTGCTAGATCATTCTGGGTCTTTTGCATTTATTGACGCTGCACTGAAACTTTCTGAGTGCTTCCTTTATAGGGAGCCTGAGGTTGTGTTCTGTTCTATGTGCTGTCAGAATCAGCCCAGGGACAGTGTGATTGTGCAATTTGTTAAAATCATAGGTGTTCTGAGCCAGAAGGAACTCAGAGATGAATCCAGCTCTCCCAGTTCACAGACAGGGAACCTAAAGCCAGAGATGGGAAAGGGCTTGCACAAACACCCTCAGATTAATGGCAGAGCCTGGACAGCTGCCCTCCCGCTCCACTTGCCAGTGGTTTTCAAATGTATGTCGAAATTACCTGGGGAGCTTCACACCATCCTCATGCCTCGGCCCCACCCAGACAAAGTAACTCAGAATCTCTGGGAGTGGGGCCCAGGCACCAGTGATTTTCATAGCTCCCCAGCTGACCCCATGTGCAGCCAAGGTTGAGGACCACTGTGCTAGGAGGATCTGAGGCCCAGAATGTTCGCATTAAAGGGAGAGAGGTCCTTCTAAAGTGTAACAGAGAAAGGAGTTAAACATGCGTGTTCCTGAGATCTGGCCAGGCTCTGAGCAGCCTTGTGATACTGCGAGTATGGTTTAGAATCCCAGCCCTGCAACTTAATAGTTGAGTGACTTTCGGCGAGTTGCTTCTCCTCTCTCAACCTGGCTTTTCCATCTGAAATGAAAATCGTGTCCTGACCCCTTCCTTCCAGGCTTGCCGTGAAGAGTTGAGATGGGGGATATAAAGCACTAGAACAAGGCCTGGAGCGTTTAGGTATTCAGTAAATGATGGTTATCATTTCCCTTAAAGAAGGTTGACTTAGGGTGTATGGGGTGAATCCCTTGGAGTGGTGCAGCGATGTCTTTTAAAGGACAAGAAAAGTTTCCAGCTGCCGTCCTTTCCCACTAAGCAGGTGCTCGTGTTCTTATCCCGTTCAGGTCCATCTGGGCAGCGGGATTTGGGTTGATGAGGAGAAATGGCACCAGCTACAAGTAACCCAAGGAGACTCCAAGTACACGAAGAACTTGGCAGTCATGATTTGGGGAACAGATGTTCTGAAGAACAGAAGCGTCACAGGAGTTGCCACAAAAAAAAAGAAAGATGCGATCCCTAAGCCCCCTCTCTCGCCTCACAAACTCAGCATCGTCAGAGGTAGGTCACTGCAGTAGAGACACAATGGCTGAGATACTGTCCTTCCCTCTGTCAAGAGTGTATGAGGCACAGTTCACTCAACAGTTGCTGAAGCCTCTCCATGCCAGGCCCCGGGCTGGCCACGGGGACATAGGAACAGATACAGACCTTGTCCCTGGAGAGTTCACATTTAACAGGGCAAGTGAGCTGTGGACACAAGTCCAGTTCAAGGAACTAACATGAGACAGAGACAGGTGATGTGCTAAGGGAGTTCTCAGGAGGGGAGGAGACCCCTAGCTGGAAAATCAGGGAAAGATTCTTGGGGAAGGGGTCACTGGGTTGGGCCTTGAAGGATGTGTCAGACATGGAGACACAGATGTCGAAAGAGAGGTGCTTCAGGAGGCAGAAGCGTCTGGAACAAAGGCATGGAGGTGGGAAAAGAGTGCTGTTGTGTACAGAGAGCAGTAAAGGTGGAGGCTAGGGGACGCAGGTCTTGGGGTCCTAGCATCATGCCTGGAGCAGATAATGAGATGAAGACCAGCTGAGGGGCACGGGACTCAGCTGCTTGTGTTTGGGAAGAGACGGGGGTCATTTGTCCCCCTAAAGATGTGGCTTTGTCCTGGACTCTTTGATTTTCCTTCTTTCCCTTCCTTCCTTCCTCCCTCCCTCCCCCATCACCTCTCTCCCCTCTTCTTTCTTTCCTCTGTCTCACTCACTCTCTCTCCATTCATTCCCTAAGCCCTTATTCTCTGCCAGGCCCTCTGCTGGGTATTGAGGACACAAAGACGCAGTCTCCATCTGAAGGGAGCTCACAGTCTCGTGGGGAAGACGAACACAACAGCAGCTAGTTACTGTGCAGATGAAACAAACCACAGAGACAGGCCGGAGGAGAGAGAGCGGAGAGAACACAGTCATCGCTAATTATTTTGAGCACTTCCTATGTTTTAGGTTCTGTTTTGGGGGGATTTATGTTTTTTTAAAATACCTTTACATATATTGACTCACTTAATCCTCATAACACTTCTACTGTTAGCTACTGTTATTATCCCTGTTTTACAGGTGAGGAAACAGACACAGAGATGTTAAGTAACTTGCCCAGATCATACAGCTAGGAGGGGTAGAGCCAGGAGTCCAAGCAGGAGGGCTGGCTTCAGAAGCTGTGCTCCTGACCACTAGCCTGTAAGTGTCCAGCTGCCATGTTTTGATGAAGAAAGTAAGACTCCATCAGTCGACAGGTACATTTTGAGCAGGCTTTGTGCCAGGTTCTGGGGCAGACAACAAATACGTCCACGAACAAGTCAGCCCTTTTCAGGTACCAATGAAGGTGTGAGGATGAAGAGGCCTGTGTTAGCTGGCTGGTTGGAGAAGGCCTGTTTGAGGAGGCGAATTCTAACCAAGAACTGAATGTGGAGGAGCAGCCCCGTGAAGGTCTGAGGGGTGTGAAACAGGCCAAATAAATAGCAGGTGCAAAGGCCAGCGTGCTCGGGGGTAAAGCAGCCCTGGCAGCTGAGAGTCAGGAGTAAGGGGAGGGTGAGGCCTTGGAGGTGGGCGACAGCCGCTGTTGTCGGAGCGTGCAGGCCACCGAGAAAGGCAACAGAGGTCTTCAGTTGCGGAGTGACCAATGGGAGAGCAGTTGGGAGGCAGTGGTCTTGGGAGAGATGATGGAGCTGGGGACGAAGGCTAGAGCAGTGTTAGGGGAGAAAAATGGCCAGATGTAGAGAATATTTTGGAGGTCAAGGTGGCAGGACAGAGATTAAGTGACCAGCCTGAGGTCATAGCTACAACGTTTCACACCGGCACCCCTGACTCTGGTCTGGGCTGGTCCTGCTGTGGCGCAGCTGCCTCCCCCTCCTCACTGACCCGTGATTGATTGATTCAGGCAGCCACTTGTTTTTAGACAATCAGGGGTAGCCTTTAGTCTGCGCACTTTCTGAAATGGTGGAGCCTGATTTGGGAGGTTGCCCTGAGGAAGAGGCCTTCCTTGGGATGAGCCCTGCCACCCCGATAGGTGGCTGACCTCATTTTGTTACACTTGTTGGAATGTGACTCAGCAGCTCCCAGGTGCCCCCCCATAAGTGGCTGCTCCACCATTATCATGGTGTGGTATGAAGCCATCTGCTGGGTGTCTGCCTCAGACACTCGCCTGACCACATCTGATTCAGCGTCACATCCTCATTGTCTAGCAACAGGGCCTGGCACACAGTAGGAGCTCAGGAAGTGAGGGTTGGACAAATGAAACAAAGACCTGCAAGCTGATCCCCTGACAACCCCTGGTGTGCTTTCTTGTAAATCACCTTCCCTCCATGTCTCAGTTTCCTCAGCTGAAAACGTGCCTCCTAAGGTGATGAGGGTTGCGTAGGATTATAGCCGTGAAAGACTTGGAAATAGTCGAGTTTGAGGTGTGAAAATAAGTTACCATTCTTTGTGGACAAGCGAGCTGCCCCCGTGGAGCCCACATGACCTCATGATGGCCACGTCATTGGAGTTCACAATCCTTCAGTGCTTTCCAGCCCCCTGCCGTCCACTCACAGTGCCATGCAGTGGAAGTTAGAAATTGGAACCAGGTGTCAAAAGCCTGGGGTTGAGCCCCAGCTCTCTTTGGTTTAACTTTTAGCTTACCCTGGTGCGTATTGTATTTGTTTTTGTTTCCCCAAGCTTAGTGCTGCCCCAGTACCAAGTAGATGCTTGGGATCTCCATCTGTAAAGCCAGGCTCACAGTCCTTGTCCTGGCTACTCAGTGGATCACATAGACATTTTGAATGTTCTTTCAACCCCATCAGACGATGTCTTATGAAGCTAATCTGGTTCCCAATGCTGTGGAACAACCTAGAAGAAAATACCTCAGCTCTGTGTCTTGGGGTCATTCAACTCCACCTGCCAAGTCCTCTGAGTTTCCCTCACTGATCCACTCCCCTATTTTCTAAGCCCTTTTTAAACCTTCTCTGCTTTTCCCAAACATTAGTCTGTGCCTGTCTCTTTCGCAAAAGATTGCCTTGTCTGTTCCTTCACAGAGAGAAAAAAAAAGGAACTCCCACAGCTTCGAACCACCACACCTGCAGACTTACCTGTGTCCGCCCCATTCCTCTGCCTCGTGTCCCAAGAGAAGTGTTTCCTTCTCTCATTTGGGGCTAACTGTTCTCTCCTTCGAGATCCCAGCCCACCTGCCTTTCTAAGCACCTTGTTCCAGTTAACGCGCCGGCTCTACTGGTTCCTTCCCAGCATTGTTTAAATCAACTTGGACTGTTCATTTTTTACAGAAGCAAACGAAACCTCCCTAGAGGCCACTTCCATCCCGCGGCTGCTGCCCTGTCTCTCTTCCCTTTCACATTCAAGGTCCTGGAAAGAGCTGTCTACAGGCCCTGTCGGTGTTCACTTACAACGCCTCTGCCCTTCCATTGGCCTTCCGCTGCCAGCTGGATCTGTCCCACTAGGTGTCCCAGTGACTTCCTCCTTCCTAAGTCCAGGGCGCCTTTCTCACCTCCTCCCCAATACTGTTCGACTCGCCCACTCCTCCTTTACCAAGAAGCCCGTCCTGTGTGCTCAGGACTTCTCCTGCCTCTCAGGCTTCTCATGCCCCTCTGGGCTCCTCTTCCACTGCCCTCTTCTCTGTCTCCAACCGTCTTCTCTCTCACTTGACAGCTTTCCTCAGCTGATCTCACCTCCCATTGTTCCCATTGCCCTCGGTGTGCCCACGGCCCTGGGTTGAAGTCCACGCTCCTCATCCTGGCTGATGCCTGGGGACCTGGCCCCTAGGGCGCCTCTGACCTCATCTCGCACCACACTTCCCATTTCCCGCTGTGCCCTGACCACTGAGGCCTTCTTCCCGTTCCTTCCTGGTCCCACTGCCAGCTGCCCCTCCTCCGATCCGCACGTCCCCCCTCCTCCTTGTCGTTCAGAGAGGCCTTCCCCAGCTGCCTTTCCCTCACTCTCTATTACATCATCCTACCTAAAGTCTCTGCATAGCGTTTCTTATTTTTTTGTTTATTTGCTTGATAATTGTCTTTTTCCCCCACCCCTATTAGAACATAAGCTTTAAGAGCATCTCGTTCAGGGCTAGCATGTAGTAAGTGCTCAATAAATATTTGTTGACTCAATGAATGGTGACTCCCAAATCTGTATTTGACCTCAGTTCACACTTCTGAGTTCCTGGTCTATACATCCAGTTACCCACTGTCATCTCCTCATGGATGTCCCGTGCCAGCGGCAGAGTGCACCACTCACTGCTCTCTCCTTTTCCTTCTTCCCAAAGCCTCTGCCCCTTCTGTGTTCCCTGTCTTGGTGGATGGTACCACCCACAGATCCCTCATCCTTGACTCCTGCACACACTTCACTCTCCATTTGCTCTGCCCCCAGATGCCTCTTAACCCGTCCGCTCCGCTCCATACCCTCTGCCCCCTCAGAGTCCAGGCAACATCATTTCTCCCCTGCACTACTCCAGCAGCTTCCAGACTCCTCTCTCTGTTATGTAACTGGAGTGATCCTTCAGAAACCAAATGTGGTCCTGTTAACCACCACCCCGTCACAGCCAGTCCTTGGGACCCATTATTAAAGGGTAAGCTTCTTAACATGTCATAAAGCACCTTCATAATCCAGCCTCTGGCTCCAGCTCCAGCTTTATTTTTCAGCAATTTTCCCCCTGAACTCTAAGTTCTTGCCAAAATGAACTACTTTATTCCCTGAACAATGTTCCCTCTCACATTAGGGAATTTGCAAATGCTGTTCCTGGTGCCTGGAACGCAGGTCATACCCCCTCTGCACTGTGCTGCTTTGCCCGGCTAGCGGCTGCTCAACACCCGCATCTGCTTGCAAGAACCTGCCTTCGGGAAGCCTTCCCTGACCTCCTAGGGTGGGTGGAAGCTTCTGTCCTGTGCCCCAGAGACCTTGTGCCTACCTCTCTTCTCTTCTGTCTCTTTGCCTCTGAGGAGCCTGGTCTAGCCACCCCTTAGTGCCCATAAATGCTTGCCATGCAAGCAAGCGAGAAGGAAACTGATTTGCCCAAGGCCACACAACTGGTTAGATCAGAACCAAGCAGAACAGGGTTTGCAGGCTTCCTGTTGTCTCCAGAGGTTTCTTGTCTTACTGAAATACAGTGTTGATTTGTCTTGTCTGTACTACAACCAGGCAGGTTTGAAGTCTGTCTCCCAGCCCACCATGCACTCACCATTTTTAGCCTAATTATTTGAGCTTTTCCCATGCAAGCTGTCTGCTGGATTGAGATTGTTTGTATTTATTTTGTATGTTTTTACCACATTTAGTTGCATCACTGTGTAAAAATGACAAAAGCCTTGATGCTCACAGGGTTGGTGAGGATTTTCTCTTTGGTTTTAAAGTCATTGCTTACCAGGCAGCAGAGGCATGTGGTGAACGCCAGCCCTGCCTTAGCAGGAGGAGGCAGGAGGGCTGGAGGAGAGTCTCGCTCTGACAACAAGCTCCAGAATGGCAGTGAAACCTTATTACGGTCAAATAACCTTTTGCAGAGGGTCTTGAGTTTTCTAAATGAGCCACGGCGTTGAGTTCTGGTTCATTTTTATAACTTTTTTAATAGGACTCATTAGCGCTGGTATAAACCTTGTTAATTAAGCAATAATCTCAAATGCTCCGTCGCAGAGGGAGACGTTCCCGGCAACTGCAGGTGATTAATATCTAGAGCCTAACGAAGCCTTTTAATCAACCAGAGGCTTGGTCCATGCTCCTACCCCAGGAAATGAGAGTGATTAGGATTCTGTGGAGGCCTCTGAAGACCTCCCTCCACATGCACCTCTCTCCCCTTGCCTCTTCTCCGACTCATGCTGGGGCTCTCAGCACCGGCACACCCACTCTCCTTTCCCCTCCTGTCCCCTTTGCCTCTTTACCCACGCTTGTTATCTCCCAGAGACTTAAGAGCTGGAAGAATCTCCCTGGATTATCTGATTTGACATCTGGTGAAACTGAGACCCAGAGAGGGTCCCATTGGAGGTTGCACAGCGACTAGAGTTAGAGCCGGATCTGAGTACCTGAACTTGGGAACAGTTCTCAGCACAGGTGTCTCCCTCATTTGGTTCAGGTTTCAGCAAAGTCACTGTGAGTGTCTGCTCTCTGCTGGCCCAGGGCTGGAGAGGGAATGCCCAAGAGTTCCAGGAGGCAGCTTGCCACGGGAAGGGAAGGGCTGAGAGTCGGGTGGGCAGCAGTGGACTCTGCCCATACTCACCTCCTTTCTCCAGGCCTCAGTCTTCTCCCACGTAGTTAGTCTCTGTGATCCCCTCCAGTGCCGACGGTCTGCATCTCTAAGAGGATTACCTGCTGTGGGCTGGCCTGGTAGATGAGATTTTGTTTGTCTTCTGTAGCAGTTCCTTCAGATTGGGTTCTCATTCCTGTTTTATGGGTGAGGTAAAGCTCAGGTTCAAAGAAGTCAAAGTTCTCGCCCACGATGACGTACCCCTATGGCACATTCCCCACCCACACCCCCCGTCCCCTTATATCCAGAACTTTTATGTCCCCTCAGGTTTCCCTGGAAAAGTATTCATTCATTCATTCATTTAACATATATTTACTTAATCTCACCCCTGTGCCAAGCACTGTGCTAGGCCCTGGCAATGAACATTTGTATAAACATAAAATAATTGTAATGACCCCATACAAGTGTTGTGTTCCTCACAGTTTAAAGAAAGCTTGCAGAGTGTTTATCTCACATGCGCCATGACAGCCTTGAAAAAGGTGATCTGTAGTTTGTGATTCTTGTTTATGAGGTGTTGAATCTAGGGCCATGATTTGCGCGAGGTCCCCAGGCTGGACAGGGGCCTGCGGTCAGCCTCTGGCAGGCCTTATCTGGGGCTTGCTCTCTGCTTCATCGCAGCAAATGGCAGACACAGTAAAAGTGGCAGTCCTTGGCCTCATTAGTAATCACCACAGTGAGATACCACTTCACACTGACCAGGTTGTCAAAATCTTAATAATCTGACAACATCAAATGCTGTTGAAGGTGTGGGGCCACCAGTCCTTGCATACATCACGGGCAGGAGCGCCAGGCAGCACAGCTGCTTTGGAAGACGGTTTATTAGCATCGCCTAGTAAAGTTGACCTTGCACACGCCCGAACATCCAGCAGTTCCACGCCGAGGCCCACACTGGCGAGTTCCCTGCATGTGCACCCCAGGAGACATGTGCCAGGCTGTTGGTAATTGCAAAACACTGGAAACAACTCAAGTATCCACTGACAAGAAAGTGGATCAGCAGAGTGTGGAATAGTCACACAGTAGAACACTACTCAACAGTGAAAATGAGTGACGTGCGAGTCTGTACCTCAAGTAAATCTCAAAACTGTAACGTTGAGTGAAAAAAAGCAAGTCAGGAGGATATAGAGAGTAAGGGCACACTCGTAAACAAGCTAAAAACAGGGAAAGGTAAACAATGTGTTATTTAAGGATGTATGCATATGCATTAACATTAGAGGAAAAGAAAAGCAAAAATTCAGGAGAGTGGTTCCCTCTGGTGAGGGCGAGGACAGGACGGGTTTGGGGCGGGGCGTCCAGGGGCTTCAGAGGGACCAGTAATGTGCTGTTCAGCTGGGTGCTGGGCACATAGGGCCTCTATCTTTATTTTTAAAGTACAGATTTACAGTGTATTTCTACTCTTTTCTAAGTACATTTTGTGACGAAAATTTGAAAATATAGCTATGCCAGATACGTGAATTGGTATTTGGGAAGTATGTCAGGAAGCACATTTTTCTTCCCCCCCCCCTTAAAAGATGTGTACTCAAATTCACCATTAATCCGTGGCCTTCTTGTTTCTTTTCTCTGTCTAGAGTGTTTGTATGACAGAATAGCACAAGAAACTGTGGATGAAACTGAAATTGCACAGAGACTCTCCAAAGTCAACAAGTACATCTGTGAAAAAATCATGGATATCAATAAATCCTGTAAAAATGAAGAACGAAGGGAAGCAAAATACAATTTGCAATAAACTTTGGATTTTTCATAAAGCCTTTGCGTTTTCCTTGCGTGGCTTGTGATTTGCGGGCGATGGTGCCGTCCAGATCAGACCCCACCGTGCACAGTAGTGCGCGGGCAAGGAGCCAGCAGGGTTCTGGGGTCAGCGCTTCTTCTGAACTTGGACTTCCTGCTCCAAAGAAGGCAGGTGGATTTGCTGAGACGCAGGCAGCAACCTGGCGCCCCTGTCATTCTAGGGATGGTAAAGCACTGTCTTTTCAGAGGGGGATAAAGTGTCTCTGAGTTGTCTATCACTTGACCCAGAATTTCAGCTGATATTTTTACCATTCGAGGACTTCTATCTCTGTTCCTCTATTTTGTTCTATAATAAAGCTTCATTAATTCTTTCATGGAGACAATCATTATCTTCATTTATTTAAGCATATTGGATGTACAGTGGAGGTATCCAGTGTCTTTGAAGAGTGGAACATTCAGGCGGAAGGAGAGAAAATTCACAAGGGATGTGGCTGCTGTCTGCTGATTTGAAGGGCTGTCTCAAGAGCAGATTGCTTTCTCTTACTTCAAAGCACAGATCTAGGACCAGTCGCCTTTCTCACGATGATATGAGTTTCAGCTTCCCTGGTCATTTGAATCAATCTCTGTAAAGGGGTGTAGGGGGGCAGTAATGCTAGATGTGGTCCAGGGTTACCTTCAGGAAGTAGGAGGCAGTGTCACCTGGTGTCAGTTATTTTATCCAATCTTACATCTCAAATGATCTTTAAAGTTACGTAATTTTTATCTCATTCAGTAACCGAGTCTCTAAGGTACCTGGTGCACAGTCTGGCAAACCACACTGTCTTCCTGTTGATTTGCACTTTCCCTTCTGTGATGCCTGTGAAGTCAGCATGGTATATTGGAAATGACAAGGGTTTGGGGCTACGCATCTGGGTTCCAAGCCTGGCTCCCCTGCTTGCTTTGAGTTTAACCTCACCTCCTGAGTTTCCATTAGAGCATTGGTGGTCTGTAAGCAAAAGCTCAGGGTCAAGGGGGTATGTAAGGTAGGTGGCTAGCTCTTTGAGGAATTTTATTTTAGTAAATGATCCTTTGTAACATGAAATATTACATGCTCACTAACAGGATGTATAGATGTGAATTTCATTTTATGATATTTTCCCAGTGCTCTACAAACTAACGGTGTGATCGTGGTCCAATCACTTAATGTCCTAGAGTCCTTATCAGTATAATGAGGAAGATAATGCCTAGCCCGCAGGCTTTGTGGATAATTAAATACTAATAATAACAACAACAACAGATACTTAGTATGTGCCAGGACGTTCCTAAGTGTTTAACATAGTTTTAACTCATTTCATGAGGTAAGTAAAGTTTATGACACTTATTAGTGTTCAACAAATTCATGTCACTAAGATGGGTTCATCCTAATGGCATGGGGCAGCTTGGGCATGAGTAGTGTGGAAGGCTTGAGAGACTGGAAAAAAGCATGTATCATGCTTGAGCTCATCCCCTCTCTGCCTGAGCATGGCGAAGCACAAACGCCCAGAGGCCTGTGCATCTTCCTTCAAAGACTGACAGTCTGGTACCTGTGTTAGAGGTGCTTTTAGGTTCGGGGGAAATAGTCATGGAAATATATATTTAAAAAAATGTTATGATGTATGTGACAATGCGTATATTAGGGACAGAACAGGGTTGTGAGAGATTGTGGGGTCTGAGTTCGAATCCTGGCTTTACCACTTCTGGGAAGGTCACCTGACCTCTCGGGGGCTCATTTCTTCTCAAGTGGAGATAATGATCCCTGACTCAGGGTTGTTTGGAGAGTAATCCAGGTAACATCTGGAAAAAGGGTTCTGTAAATCACAAAGAGCCACACAGATTTTAATTGTTTTAGCTTATGAGGCAGAATAAAATCAGAAGCAGATGTGACAAGAAAGGACCTAAGAACCGATTCTGATGGAGAATCAGGAAGGTTTCACGTCCTAGTTAGACTGCGCAGTTTGGAGCTCCTGTTGTGTACCTGGTGCCCTGTACTTATTATAAGAGGGCAAGGCTGTCATTCTTATACCCATACAAATGGGAAAATGGGCTCAGAAAAGGTTAAAAAATTTGTTGGCCAAGGTCCCAGAGTTGTCAGCATTGGAGCCTGGTCAGAATCCAGGTCTGCAAAATCTGCCCTTTGACCTCTTCCCTGAAGGATGAGTGGGATACTGTGGTCTGGGCTGAGAATCTAGCCATGTAATCTCAGGGTATCATTAGGAGAGATGCGACCTAAGTAATCAGTCAACGGAAATTGATCTCATTAATTCAAGCCCTTTGGAGGGACGACAGTACTGTTTATACAAGGATTCACACTGTATTAGGTTCAAATACACAAAACTCAAAATCATTTCGTGTAGTAGAGTTTCCCAAACTTGTCCAGTCTTAAGAACTTGCTGAGGTGCTTAAAATGCAGATTCCTGGGCTTTGGCTTGAAGAGCTTGATTCAGTAAAGCCGGGGACAGGCTGGGACGTGTATTTGAACACAAGTGCCACTTCTGAGCAATTCCAGTCTAGAAGTCCTTAGAAGACCTGCTTTAATGAAGGAACAAGACTGTTTCCTCTGTAAAACGATCTGCTCCTCCTGAAGTGCCTGAGGATATTTGAAAGTGAGAATAAATTTCCTCTTAAATGGCTGACGATGTGCCCTCACACCCTGTGTCGAGTCACTCCTTCATGCTCCCCAGCGCTGTTTCACGGCGCCTGATGCAGAAGCTGGCTCTCAGTCTGGGCACCAATGGTTTCCCCTCACTTTTGCACTTAGATTCTTTCTTTCAATTCTGGTGACAGCCAGTGAGTCGTGTGGGACAGGACAGTCAATGCTGGATTGGCAGAGCCTGAATTGATGAGGTCTGGGCACTGTCTTCAGAAGCCCTGGCAACGGGTTCTCTGTTAGCAGACGAGACAGAAAGATGTGGCATGCTTCTATTTTCAGCAGAGAAAGGTGTGTCAGTGCCTATTTTGTGCCCGTGGTTCCTTGGATGCATTTCTAAATTATGACATTTATTTTGTAACTGTAAAGAAATGAAAACCACCTTATAGAAATTTGTAGAAAAATAGCAAAACCTTCCAAATTGCACTACTTGCAAGGATTGTGATGAATCTCTTCTAGTCTTTTTTTCAAGGGTATAAATAAGCATTTTACATACCTGCAGTCATAGCAGATGATTAAGTTTGTGTTCTTCCCTTTCCATTTAACATGTTTCCGTGTTGCTCCATGAAATTTATAACCGACAATCCTAACATCCACCAAGTGGATGGACATCAAGCTACAACTCAGCAGACCATCTGCTCAGCTGTGGGGCTAACCCGAAGGGCTCCCAGTCCATGGAAAGCCTGGCCACACACTTTGGTCCAGCGCGGGTGACAGAGTGAGCTTGAGTTTGGGTCGATGCATTTGAATTCAGTTCCCAACTTACTACCTCACTTGAGGTACACCTTTCATCTTTCTGAACACCAGCTGCTTCATTTGCGAAATGGAGGAGATGATATATCCAGTCATGGAGTTGTTAGAAGGATGGAGAATGTAATAGAAGTGCCCGAGCGAGAGTGTATAGATGGCAGCCCGTGTTCATGTTGACTTCTCTCCCCCTGCCCCACCTTCATTCCCTCCTCACCTGTTCCCGTCTCTCACCTGTTCTGACCTCTTACACAGTGACCTTGGCTTTCATACCTGCCGTTGGCCCTCCAGACACCTGGTGCTTATCCCGCAGTGCTGGGTACTTATGGGCTCTTCCCTGTGCACGCCGACTGGGCCCACTCCTGGCCTTCCAGCTCCCCTCAACCCCCTCAACCCTCACCCCCCGACCCGGCTGGCCCATTTGCCATTGGCCTCAAATTTTTAGGTTGTTTATAAATAAAACTCAGATGAAGATTTTTGTGTGTATAGTTTTTTCCCTTTATATTGTCTGTCATTAGGGTCATTTACCTGGGTCAAAAGGAATGACATTTTTATCATTCTTGATACATAGAATGGGTGTGACTATGTTTTAAATTATTTTGCCAAATTAGCCTCATTATATTTTCCTTGATTATTTCCAAGACTGCACATCTCTCCAGAGTTTAGTTTCTTATTTACAGAAAATAAAAGCTTAACCTGTAAGCATTTCCAGCAGAATCTATTTCATTTTCTGTGTTTAGTTTTCTCTGGACAGTGTGTTTACCTTGGCATATAATTTTTACCTTTCTTTCTGCAAATAGACATACCAACAGATATTTTCATTATTGCTGTTGAAGGGATTGATGAGTTTCTACCAAGCAGCTTCAGAGGCTCGTGGAACCTAAGAGTGAGCAGTGAAGTTGGAAGTCTTTCCCCCAGATTGCCTCTGCACTGTGAGCAAGTGCCTCTCCAGACAGTGGCTGAACACCTCCAGGCGTGGGGGAGCCGTCTTATACCCAAGAGACCATCCTATTACTGCCGTCACTTAGACATTCTCCTGTTGAGCTAAAAATCTATTTCCTTGAGACTTCTAGGGTCATTCTCATTCTCTCCTCTGAAGTCAGGCAGAATCCTGCTCATAGCCCTTTGCAGAGTTGACGGTGGCAATCATGGTTCTTCACCATCTGATAAATAGTTTAAATTCTGTTCCACCATTTCTCATGTGAGAGAGGCTGCACAGGAAAGAGTGGGGACTCTGGATTTAGACAGCCCTGTGTTCAAATCCTGACTGCTGCTTAACTAGTATGTGACCTTAAACAAATTCTTAACCTCTCTTAGATTTTGTTTTCTCATTTTTCCCCTCCGAGGAAGATTAGCCCTGAGCTAACATCCGTCGCCAATCCTCCTCTTTTTGCTGAGGAAGATTGGCCCTGAGGTAACAGCTGTGCCCATCTTCCTCTATTTTATATGTGGGATGCCTGCCACAGTGTGGCTTTATAAACAGTGCATAGGTCCGTGCCTGGGATCCGAACCAGGGAACCCTGGGCCGCCTGAAGCAGAGTGCACGAACTTAACCACTGGGCCACTGAGCCCTAGTTTTCTCATCTTTAAATGGGAATACAATACCTACCTCACAGGGTTGTCTCAAGAGCTACATAAGATAGTGTGAGTAAAGCACCGAGGCATTCAATATCTCTTAGTTCCCTAATCCTAAGAACTCTGACCATCCCGGTGGCTCTTTTACGGATGTGTCCCTAAAAGGTGAGGTCAGGATTGGACACTATTCTGGAAAGGATCTGATCAGCACTAAGTAGAGCAGGCTGTCACCTCTTACTCCTGGACAGCGTATCTCTATTAACATGGCCTAACCGTGGTTTGGCATCTTTGGCGATAGCATTGTCTCATGTTGAGCTTATGGTCACCAAACCCTCCTCTGCTCCCTCTTTTTGGCTGACATGATGCTTGTCCCTTTAGTTCACTGTG